GGTTATACAGGGCAATTTTGCTTGCTTTTGTTGAGTCAGTGACTGGATCATGTCCTTGCCATGGCATGGACTATCCTGACTGAGGTTTGTTGTGGTTTTCCTCAGTCCACTGAGGAAAATACCAGGATAGTACCTTAAATTTCGCCATGACTAATTCCTTCCATATCCTTTGTAATTCGTTATTCACTGTCATCTGATCATCATTTAACACAGATGACATCATTAAATATACTATATATATTTGGCATGAAGGAGTTGACTGTATACTTATGTGTTTTGTGCTGTATGAAACGCTGAAGGCCCAACCATACCAATCAGCATTGTCCCTCCCTGTACGTAATTTATGGTGATAAATGTAGAGAAAGAAGACGATAAGTTTCAACATTTGATGTTGTAATCTGTCAGCAGCTTCGTTCTGTTCATGCATCTGTGCAAGAATTAGCACACAGCACTTACACATATTTGTCAATTGAAAGAGGTTCCCTTTTCACGGCTCATGGTGGAATCCATGCATCACTATCCTTATCACCATGTGTCAGTGTTCCTGGTTAACACTGGTCCAGTTTTTATTTGTAATGGCATCTGTGGAGAGGAACTCAGGGCATGTCTGGTCCCTCTTCTGTCTTTTTATTTTCTTTTCATCGGTTGTGTTGAGTCTGGTGGATGGCAGTAACAGCTGAAATCTTCGATGAGGAAATCTGTGGTGAATCCATATACCAGCTGTGAGTGTGTGCATTTGGAAGCATTGAGTATATTTGCAGATATCTTGTTTTAAGTGCTCCTGTTGTGGTTAGGTCCCTTATAATCCTGCACAATGTGTGAATTGCAGTGGCAGGTATTTTTCCAGTGATGAGAAGTACTCTGAAGTCACCTGCCTTCATCCTTGTCCCCCAGAGAATGGCTTTCCTTCTGCATTAAAAATACAATATGGGCACTTCAGATGCTTGTGGGATTTACACCCTTATCTTATCTCTTTGCTTCAGCATTGTCCTTTGTTCAGTCTGCGGGGTTTCTACATCTTGTTCATAGCAGCATACTGTCTGGGAAGAACATGTGTGAGCATCACACACATTGTGATTGCTAACTAAATGTATTTTGAGAGTACTGCCTGATACAGCTCTCTCTTCTTGTCACTTTTGTCATCCTCTCTAAAATGATTTTGAGAGTTTCATATATGCTTTAGGTTCCATCATAGATGCTGCTCATAATGCTGGTATCCACCTCACCTCACCACTGGTGCTTTGCAGACTGAAACATCCATAAATCGCCTATCTTTCTGTGTTGGAAACCATCTGCCATGCAGTGAAGTTGAACACACATCTCTGTCTCTCATCCTGTGATGTGCTGTTCACACGTAGTCTGTTGTGGGTATAAAGGCAATGTCAGAACCTCTCGACATGCAGCTGTGTGCCTCTGACAACTTTTAGTTTCTCTTGATGTATGCATGGCTCATAGACACAGGTCTGTCTCACTTTGGTTTCTCAAACTGTGTGACTGTAACCTCCATCTCACTGGACTTGTAAAGTAACATCCATATTAGTTTGTGCCTACCCAAGTTAAACATATTTACTGGTTGATTATGAAGTCATATGAGTTCTTTGAATAGATCATGCTTTGTAGATTATTAGGTTTCTTAATTCTGGCTACACAGTCTTATTACACTGTACACCCCAAGGCTGTGATACATCTAGCTGTTCAGGTCAGTTGCTGAAATAATAGCCAGCTTCTGCTGTGCACTGACTTCCTGAATGGGCTGTACCTGTGATCATCCCTCTAGCTCCATGTAGCTGTATCTTCCTTTTTTATTTATCTTTTTTTTTTTCTTTTTGGATAAGCCACAACATTTCTTCATGTGTGGGATATTTAACATTGTTGGAACACTGTGTTCTGCTGGGTGCTGGATCATATGATCATTTCTAGTAATGAAGCCACAGACATTGCTGCTAAGCAAGCATTCACTGTATTGTGATGTGGAGGGCGCAACAGGAAGTATGGGTCACATGAACTTCGCGGTCTTGCAAGTGACATCACATACCCTCACTCCTTCCATCATTACTCAACTCTCGGTAAACAACCCCCCCACGGTGACGTAACAACAGAGCAGCTGTGTCAGGCAACCATTGTCGCGGTGACGTAACAGCATAGGAGCTGCTACCGTTGCTAGGGTAACAGGCCAGTAAACATTCTCCTCCCCACGGTGACATAACAGCACTTCCCACTGTGACGTAACAGGGGACACCACGCTTACTGTGTGGCAACAAGGAACAGTATAAGAAGCCAGCTGAGCGGTGCGTCAGAGAGTGTGCATGGTGCCTAGACAGTGTGGATGGTGAAGCTGCCGAAGCCAATTGGCCTTTGAAGAGATGAGTCGAGCGAAGTCCAGCAGCTATGAGTTGAGTTGCATCAAGTGAATGGAAAGGACTACATCAGAAGACGTAATTGTGATACTGCAGATGGCAGTAGTTGTGAAACTGTAACTTGTGTAAGTCTAAGAGCGAATGTTCAATAAATTCGCTAGATCCAGAACAGCGTGAAGTTATTTGTCACGTTACATACCCAACATGTGACATTTGGTGTCAGAAGTGGGATTGGACTTACACACGTGACCGACAGTTTTCGAATTTAAAACACGTGACAGTATGTACACATATAATGCCCAATGCTAGGAATTTGGCTTTATTCCTCTCTTATGTAGGAGTAGTCAATAGTTAATGGATATGACTGCTGTGTGGCAGTCAGGGCCATGCCATAGCTCAGGTGGTTAGTCACACGCTTCCCAGCATGGCGGTCTAGCTTCAATTCCAGGTCAGTCATATGGGATTTTTGGCAGATAAAGTGGCACTGGGGCAGGTTTTCTCTGAATACTTCGGTTTCTGCTAATTCTCATTCCACTGACTGATCCACACTCATTGTCTGTCATCCAGGGTTAGTACAGTAGGCCAAACAGTGGCCGACATATAAAGTGTCCTCAGTCTCACCCCACCCCAAGAAACTTAAAAGGAAAAGGAACTATGTGGCAGTCAGAGCTACGTGGGCTTCACTCAGCTTAGCAGTCTTGACCTTCACTAAAAACAAATTATCATTGTTAGCAGCTTACATATTCTGTGAAATCATGATTCAGTGGATATAAGAGTGCAGCAGTGGAGAAGTTGTCAATTTAAAATTCCAACCATTTTTACACTCAGATCACTACTGTCTGTAGTTTGAAAAAATATAATTAGGCTTATGAGATCACCTTGCCGTATGTGTGTCCCCCTCCGCCAGTCAACCTTTGAATGCCTGAACCATTATTTATGAAATTTAGTATGTATATCATGTCACCCACACCCATCTCAATGGCATACTTCATAAATCCTTCCTATCAGTCTGTGTCTGTATGTTTACCCCATTTCATTGCTAGGCAATGCCTTGCAAACATGTTCCTACAGTAATGAAAAGTTGTCGGAGGCCTCTTTTTTCTGTGCAGTCTTATATCGTGTGAAAGGCAAGTAGGCATTTAGTTCTTACAAGAACATCTTGTTTATGGATAATTTTTGCCAGTAAATTTCACCTAGATAACAGGAACACTTTAGCTAATAACTTTAGTATTTTGAATATAAACATAGCTCTCCTTTCACAGCTCTTGAGTTGCTGAAGTTAGGAATTTTGGATAAAGTTTGTATTTGACAATTTCTTAGTGGGATTTAATGCGCTCTGTACTAGTATGACAATAAATGGCACCCCTTCATCATTCACTGCATTCCACATGCCTGTGTGGAAGAGACAAGATACAATTTTTCCTCTGAGAAATTTGTGGTCTACCTCTTCTTCATTCATTCCTTTTAACTTTTATCTCACCTGTTTTCTTTGTATGTGGTGTACCCTATGCTCTCTGAGTCAAGTATACCTGTCCCACTTTTAGAACCACTGTTTACAGTTGGCTTGCTTGCAGCCCTAGTTCATGTCCTTCATTTTCCTACATCTTGCACAGTTCTTCCTGCATGGCTCATGTTTATACCTCGTAGATGGAGGCAGCCAGTTCCTTCATAACATTGGCATATACAGTATCTGCCAGAGTTGCACAGCATTGCATCCTAGAGGATGTTAAACTTCATTTGTTCAGGATACATATACTGTGAGATCATTTTTCATGCACAGAGGTTACATCTGATCCTTGGTAATGAAGTCTTTAACCAAGGACAGCACCCCTTTCACTCTTTCCATTAGATGTGAGTGTGATTGTTGTGGCTGTGATCTTATGGGTTGTGACAGTGTGTGGTATCATCATGTAAACCAGACTGTGTCCACTTAAAGTAGCTAGAGAGTCTTATAGCTGATCAGAAAAGTCCTGCCCAAAGTACAGTTGTCTCCTGTGTGGTGTGTGCCACCGCGTAATTGCCAGATTTTTCGAGCATATTCTGCAGGTCATTTGAAGCAAAAAATGCCCCCTAAACAGTACTTTAATTCTTAACCATTTTTGTAATGTAGGATATAACACAAAATTGATTTTCCTTTCAGCATCTTTTTATAGGCTTACGAGTACAACTACATTATTATCAGCTTCCCTAACTAAATTTTTATTAACTTAAAACTCTACAGTATGATTCAGCGTGAAACTATAAGTTGGAAAGAATGGCCAGTATTAAAAATTGTAATATTGCAATGCAAAGAGGATGTAAGCTTATAAAACTGCCAGTATTATAATACAGCAGCCCTATTTCCATAACAGAATCTGTGTATGAAATTCGTATCATCATATACCCCATATGACAGGCATTTGAGTAACTATTGTATGGACAGCCACACCAGCCAAGTATAACAGTCAGACTGAGTAAATGCATATTAGTGGTGCTGTCACACTGCACTCCGTTACAGGTCATTTATTGCTTTGGATTGGCCTACAGTATGCTCCCAAAGTCTGCCTATTACATGGTGGAACATCATGTATATCTAATTGTTCTTGTGGTTTAGCTTGAGTGTAGATGTGAATGGCTGTTGGTCATACAGTGTTTGTTTTGCAGTTCAATTGACGAGATTGTGCTGAGCTATGTGGTAAGCATCTTGGAAGATCTGGGCACAGAAGCAAGTGTTGAGGAAGCATTTGATGTGGAGGGCTTCTGTGAAATGATGGCAGCATATTTCCCAGAATTCTCAGCAATACACCATTCAGCTGTATGTCAGTGGATGTTTGAACTGGAGGCCAAACTTAGCCAGAAGAAAGGCAAAGGTAAGTTGGCAAGTATTTTGTGTAAGATTTGAGATTTCACTGCAGTGATTGTTCAGTTTCTGGCCATCTGGATCATGACACTGTGCAGTCTCTTAGGTGAGTACTACCGTTCTCAGTGAACATGACTGTCTCCATCTTAAGGTTCAGAGTGAGTGGGGTGGGGATGTGGTCAGGTTGCAAGGAAGGTGATCACACAGGTCCATGGAAGAAACAGAAAAAATGTGACCTGGCTATGGTGGATACAAACAGGGGACAGGAGTTCCTATTTTTCTCAAAATTTCCGTTCACCATTCCTATTGCCCAGACAGCATTCTGTCTCCTCTTCCCCTTCTGTGGTTCTGAGTGACCACCTTCATTGCACCCCGCCTACATGTGACATGACAACATCCTTACCTCACTCATTTCAGCCCTGACAATGGAGGCAGCATGCTTCTCTGAAATGTTGGTATCCTATGAGGCTTTATGGCATCACATTCCAGAAGACAACAGTCTGTAAGTATTTCATAATGTGACGTATAGACCGTTGCTATGCAAAGAACTTAAAACAAACAAGTACAGCTGTTGCTGTGCAACAGGCATATAAACTGTGGGAACATCCCACATACTAACACGTGGTTTCACCGGTCTAACAGACAGCACTCAACTCCTACTCAATATCACATTGCTGCCAACGCTCGTATTTATACAGCCCTCGCTGTCCGGCCCACCTTTACATCATAGTGCGTGCTAGCCAATCAGCACTCATAATCGCAGCTGCAAGTTTGAGCTCTGCCCAGCAAGCATGGTATAAAAGGCAAAGCCCAAAGCTCACAGTCATCAGTGATCACATTCACTTCAGAACGATCAGTCATCAGAGTCATCAGCTCTTTACCGTGCCAAAGACAGCTGCTGCAACTCTCCAGCAGCCACGCTCTGCGACCAGGCAGCTAACGTAAAGTAAGAAAGTAAGTAAAGCTATCCCTGTAACAAGCCGTGAAGGCCCATAGGGTTGTGAGATGAGGGTCCCCCATTTTCTAGATAATCGGCTCAAAGATGGCGGTAAGGTTATCAGCCTTACGCACTGGCCACGCTTTACTTCCCAGGAAAATTAATTAATTCCTGGTACTCATTTCTGTTAGAGGCTGTGTCGACCGCAGGGCTATAGTGTGGCTGGAAGGATTAGGTCAATTGAAAAAATCCAGTGACCTCATTGGGACTTGAATCCGCAAGCTAATGTAATTGCTGCAACTCTCCAGCAACCACGCTCTGTTACCAGACAGCTAACATAGCTGCCACAACTCTCCAGCCCACACCGTAGACAGCTGTTCCTACCGGCTCACGCAGCACCACATCACTGGCCAGACAAACCAGCTGAACAGCCGTAAAGACTTGGTTTACTACAAAGGAGCAAATTCTGCCAGCGCACTCACGGCAGAACAAACTGACCTTTTCAGGGCCAGCCAACTTTTGAACATCGAGATTCCACATAGCTCGCAGCTTTTCTGTACATTCAATTTATACAATTTAATATATACAGTTGTTACAGTTTTACATGGTTGTCAAAGTCAAAAGTCATGTTGTAACTGACAGTCAACCAGTCAGTAAGTCTTGGTGTCGAGCCGCATCTGGGACTCCTGACCAGATATTAATTATTACCGTTTGACAATTACGGTCTTATTTTTGTGGGGCGCCTTTTCTGATGAGAGGATGGGTCTGTTTTTTACATATGCTGTTGGCCCTTGCCAGCGCGGTCTTTCTCGGCTCCAAGTCCCTTGAAACTTGCGACCATATTTTACTGTCTCAGATTTGAGACTTCCCTTTTCGTCGCCTCCTACGACTCACAGGGTCACGGTGGAGGTATTCAACCCTGCCTCCACACGGGCTTAACCTATGTGGTTCTCTTTTAGAACATCGACAGTCTCACAGAACAAAGGTTTCTGAGCAACAGCTCCGTTCTGTTCCCAAGGAAACAAACATGCATGAAACAACAGAAAAACACACACACACCCACAGATGCATTCCTTATAGATATCCTGTCACTCTTGAACTTGGAGAACCACTCAAATATTTGTGTTCTTCCCATTGTCTCCTCTCCAAAACATTTACTTTCAACATTCCAAAGGTTTCTGTAGAAGGATATGATATCTGTTGAAGATGCTGAATTCTTATGATGTCCGTTGACCAGCAGAGCTGGAGAAATTGTGGATCAAGTGAAGGAAATTGTGCACAAAAGTAGAAGAATCACTGTCTGTGAAGTTACTGGCACATTACAAATTGAATTTGGGTCAGTTGAGAGCATTATAGAAGACAATAGGCACATGTGTGGGATTACCTACCATATTTGTGCCCTGCTTAATGACTGAGGAACAGAAAGAGAATTGTGCCAGCTTGAAAGAGACCCAGAACACCTTTCAAGGGTAGTCACAGGTGATGAGATGTGGATTTACTGGTATGACCAAGAATCCTAGCAACTATCATCTCAGTGGAACAGCCCACCATCTCCATGCCTGAAAAAGGCAACACA